AACCGTAAAAAGTGTTTCACGTTTGATGATAATGATAATGAAAAAAAAGATTAAAGGATACCGACAGGATTTCAATTGATAGATGCACTTTCAGCGTAGCAATTAGAAAATTCTTTACAAATAAAGTTAAACAATCCTTAATTTCACGAAGCTTACGTTAGTGTAACTCACAACTAGAAAGAAACAGTCAAAGAAAAAAGATAGGCGAGCTCCGCGTTGAGTTAAAGCTAATTTCACGCGTGAATGTGATCTAGACAGTTATCTACGTAACCGACGTAAACTGCGAATAACTCAGAGGCTAGCCAGTTGCGATACGACATAGACGGGTATTCAAACAGCAGAGCGAGGAGCAATTTGTGTTCTACAACCCGTGAACTTTTCTCGGGTGTTCCTAATGCGGTGATAAACGTTCCGTGGTAAAAAAAGCAGGAAATATAAGACGCGCTTACATTACCAGGAACAAGTTATGCGATTAAGACACCGGCTGAAAATCTCGACGTGTTTCTACCATAGCGGTATTCAAAGAACCGGGGACGATGCCAGTCGTGTCTCAGCCACGGTTGGTATTTACTACTTGCTATGGGAACGCATTACACAGATCGCGTATTCCGTCACATCGACGCGCTTTTTTCCCAGAAATTCGAGGAATGCTTTGTACGCGAACAACGGAAATGGCCCAATTACGCAAGTGTTTTCGTGCGAATACCGTGTAAAAAAGGTATCGTTACACCGCGACCCGAAGGAATCTCTTACTCGATAGAGTTTCTTTCGCAGAAAACCTCAGCGATCACGTTTGTCCAGAAGCTATCGAAGAAAAGGATCGCGAGCAATTAGCCAGACCATGCCGAATTAAACACTCCAACAGAGGAGCTGAAGACACGCGTGTATGCGCGCTTGGCGAACCGTGTAATTTGTAGCTGGATGTTTCTTAGGAAGGAGAAAACAAGTAAGGTCGCCGGTGTCTCAACGGGAACTTCCTTACTTAGGAACACTTTCGCATAAACGGGTGATTCAGATTCTCGAGTCCACGAAACGTGAAATACGGAACAGAAGAACACGTGGCACGAAGAGAGGGGCGTGCAAGGAAACCGAGTTTACGAGATGATTGTCCTAGAAGCCCTATTCATTCGGCACGGAATCTCCAAGCGGATCTCTATTGTAGATTATTGCGCCATTGTCCATTGTCGCGATCCCCTATAATCGAGCTTCCTTCGCGACCACGAAAAAAAGAGTCAACGACCAATGAAAATTCGTTATGACCGAAAAAATCAACCTTATGTAAATCATCACCGACATCGTCGATTAATTTACTTAACTACTACTCAAAAATTTGTTGTATTCAATTTTCTGTTCCTTCTTGTGTGACTTATTAAGGATAAAGAATCTTCTGGGTAAAAAGTGCATTATTTCACTACTTGGTCCTTAATGGGTTAATGGTATCGTGTTGGCTACCATAGCGGCGCATTCTCGGCAAAGGATGGTGATTATGCACATCGGTAGCGTTAAGTCATTAAAAAGAATACGCGAAGTGCATACAAAAAAAGCAGAAATAACAAAAGTTGGTGCATCCTGCGGGCCGTCGATGCAAATCGATCCGCTCCCGATCGGCACCTGCGCGTGGGTACACGCGATTATGTATGTATAACTTGGACGAAAAGCGGTCGATGGCATCGTATTTTAGATCTTATCACCATGATATTCTACCTACGATGTCTGATCATACGGCGGGACAATTATTACTAACCGGCAAATTTTTGTCCCCGTCGTAATTCACTTTAATGGTTATACTTATATTTAATCATCCAGAACACTAGCGAACGTCTTTACTTTAAACAATTAGAAATGATATGTATATTTACTGTTTAACACTAGAACTACCGACGTTTGATGCACGCTAATTTTTAGGTTGAAAATAATATAGAAAATTAAACAGATAAGTTTATAAGTTATTTTCATTCTCATCTTTGACACATAGAGTAATGATGCGTTTCCATAAATATTTGCAGGCTAAGAAAAGCTGTTTGCACGACCCTTAGCCTCTTAACTCTTGAATTATAAATTCATAAAAATAAAAAAATAAAATCTTACATATTTCGTAGGTCTACCCTAGTAGACTGTCCTACATAGTTCAGTAAAAATTAGCATAACACCTGCAAGCAGGTGATGCATAGATATACTACGAGCATAGTACAATAGCCAGTGACCATTAAGAATCACGAAACAAAGCAGATATTTGATATGTATCATATATGTTACAAAAGGAGTTAGGAAGTTTGCATGATATACGAAACTATAAAGTAATGCAACATCAAATTAATCACCTTCATTTTCATGAGTTAGGTATTTCTCATTGAAGAAATTTCTATTCCTAATTTTTCATGCTCTCTTTTTCAGTATTAAATTTTCAACTTTGATGCATTGCAAGAAAGAATTGCTCATCACCGTTTTAGAAATTCAATAGACTACGGTTATTGACACAATCAAAATGTACGCATGGAATAAGAAATCAAGAAGAAGAGAAGTCTTGACAACGGCATAATTCGCGTGATTCACTCACGGAACACGGGCATACATCCACGATAATTCGAGAAACATAATTCAAGTCTTGGCGGAGCGCTACATCACGGCCACCAGTTTCTTGGCAGATATCGCCGCGATTCACCGTGTCGGCTTCCCTTTGCTACTTTGCTTCCCATTTTCTTTTTACCCTTCCCGTCACGCCCCTCACCTTGTCAACCAACTTTTACCCTTTCCTTTGTAGAGTCTACATTGTAGATTAATAGATTCTGACAACTTTTCATCGTCACTCGTCTACTACCTTTCCAAGTAGAAAGTTTCTACCGTGTAAACTGATATCCGTGAAGATTGCAAGATCTACTTTTCTTTTAGTACCTAACTATTAGACTTGGCTAACCTTTTCAATCTAACGCGTAAATTTAATTATATTAATAAATATCTATTCTAATTATGATCGAGAACACCACTACCCAAAATTGTAATTACCTTGGAAGTTATGTATAATGAAATTTTTATGAAACCGATGAATCAAAAGGGTTAAGGAAGAACCCCGAAAAATGAGTATAAACCATGTAATGGATTTATCTAAAATTTTAAGTGGATACATACTAAAAACCGTACTATTGCAAAATGAAACTATTGAGTTAATTGAACGTATCGCGTTATTGTCAGAAGGTAATTGTATTGTGAACAAGTTACAAAATACGATGTTACGTCTTTATAGATGTAACACGATCCGTCGAGTTTAAATATCTGCATTAGGCCTCGTGTACAGAATGGAGGAACAATTATTTATATCGTTGAATGACACGCATACAAAGAAGCCTGACAGAACAATAAAACCAGTATACTCCATGAATCATGCTCAAACCTTACGATATTTTATGTACATTATGGTCTCGCGATGTAGTGTTATGACTTTCAATACCTAGGTTTCACGTAATGATTCCGTGTAACTTTTATCGCATACACAAGCTCCAATTTCAATAATGTATTTACACAGAATTTAATAATAATGTTGTAACGTAATAGAGACGCAAAATAACGGATAAAACACGAATGTTAAATAATGCAAACATCAAAGAACCGATTAAAATTCTATTAAAAAAATATTGATTGTATTATAATAATAATTAAATATAGAAAATTTTAATTGAATATCTCGAAGATATTATTGATAGAATTATATTTTTACAGGTCACGTGTGACGTACCCTCCAATTAAACATTGTTAGCGTTCTATTCTCTACTGACAATAAACCATCGCATGAGTTAAGATCATGGAATGGTAATGGTAAGACTTGGTACCAAAGCTCGTACCACCTGTCGACAATTTTCTGATGCTTGTCTCGGTACCAGAGGACACATGTAACATTATGCTACGGCTATCCTAAATGTACACCGAAGGTGGCGTGCTCGTGTATGCTAATCACCACGAAAGTAGACACTTAACCCTCGCTGGTGTCGCCAAGTGAAAAATAATTCTCTGCCTGTACGATGAGCGTATCGTCGTCACTGCGTGTGTTTTATTCTTTCGTTTTTATCTAGACGTGCAACGTACGAATTGCTAGCTAACACTCTACACGCGTCGCGTGCACATTATAATTAAAAAGAAACATCGAGCTTGGTTCACTTTCAAAGACGTAATTTACGCTTCGTCACGGATACTTGCTAGTCTTATTTTGCACGTTGTAAAATGCAAATGTTATGTCAAGGGACACGACAATTTCGTGTTTCTCTTTTTAGCAAAGAGGGAAAAGGGGGCTTTCATCGCTTTATTTACTCGTCGCGAATCAAATTATACTGTCCGATAAATTTCATTCTTTTTGTTTTTCGATGTCTTACCTTCAACCATTGTGTACATAAGAAAAATTCTGTACACATTCACTTCCATGAATGATTAAATATACATCATGCATTTTTCATTTTTCTTAGAAAGTTAGACTCTAGAATAAAATTGAACCACATCTTGATCTGTTTAGTACAGAGCAATTGCTTCATGATATTCATTACCACTGTCGGTATATCACCATGTGCAGTTCTATTTTATTTTTTAATTTAAGAAAGAAAGATCTCTGTTGCAAGAAAAAGATCTACTTTATCATATGATGTGGTTTGATTTTATGCTAGAGTTTTATTATAATAAAACATTATATCTTACATAATTATAATTATACCTTATATCAATCTAGAAATAACATTCAAGATTTATATATTAATATTTCTTATAGAAAAATATGTTAGCGAAAGTTACTTTTTTAATTGAGTTAAAAAAGTATTAAAAATATAAAAAGTATATTCAATCATTTAAGTATTAACAGTTTCTGAATGGAAATTTTTTAATGCAAAGATCAATATGAATTTAATAATTAATTATTGCATGTGACTTACATTTTTAAATTTCTAAAGGTATAATGATAATTTGTTATTTTAATAATGTTCATCTTTACATGCGACGAAAATAAAACAATATTCAAAACTTACCTTATTGATCCGTTGTCCTTATGCTTGCCGATGAAGAAGGTTGTTACGCCATCGGCCATCTGATTTGCCCACGGTGGTTTAACCCAGATGAGGTGCTTAAAATGACCCGCATACGCAGCAGGTAGTATCCAATTTTCGATGCTTATTTCACTGTTAATAATAATACGAAATTTAGGATCTCAGTAATGTATAAAATTAAAATATTTATCAAACATATTGAGGGAGAGAGAAACTGATTCAAAAAATAACCAATATGGAAACAAAACTCTCTGTTCATAAATTGTGCTGGCTTTTTAAATCATACTAAAATGGCCGCCTACCCTTTTATCATGTTAATACATGTTAAGATACTGTGACATCTGATGTCACCAATAAAACAACAAATATGATGTACATCTCAATGTTTTCAATAAGTATATTCGTATGTTATACATTACGACAAATAAATTAAATGCAATAACCAAAACTTATTAATTGAACAATAATTTTAAATACCTGAATAATTCATTCTTGTCCCACACAGTATCCGCCAACATTGTTTTCGGAATAAGCATGTCGGGATGAGAATCCAAATGCACAAACACGTTTGCTTCAAACGGAAGGTGTTTCGATCCCAAACAACGGTAAATGAACGGTAAAACCTAAGAAAATATCACAAAATTCACAATTTTTAAAGCACTTTAACACTTTGATTTCAATTTCCAACGCATATCGGTCACGTGACCGATACGTCATTGGTAGTTCGAGCGCTTATAGCGCCCCTAGCGTATACTACAGAAGAAATCTGGACGGAGCAAGTTACAGTGTAAACAAACTTGAAAGACGTTAATCATTCAAAAACTTACTTCGTCATGAGCCTCTACTACGTAAATCGGCACCCTTTTAAAGTACTTCCTAGAGAACGACATATTTCCAATCACACACTAAACGAATATTCACAGACAGAGGTAATTTGCAAAGAAAACGATCGATAAATTTACTAATTAACACCATACAACACTCACGAACGCGATTAAGGAGACTCCTTTACGCGAAAGCACGTGGTGACCGACTGAAGTATACTAGGCGGGCTGCTCAAACGATTATTTTGCGAATAAAGGACGGACACAACGAGCGCGTACCCCAAATTCTCACGAGACGAGTTTCGTAAGGTGGTTTTTTTCGTCTCGTCCCCCTTAAAGAAACTCCTTAGAAACCTGATCCCCCTAACTCACAACCGGCATATGATATTCAAATAAATAAAACCATTTAACACTTGTATGTAATAAAAATTTTAGGTATTTCAATTGTACTCAACATAAGATACTTAGCTTGTTGAATAATTAATAACACAAGAATATACTTAAGAAAAGAAAATAATTTCATTTATAATTTTATTTAAAAACGCAATAAACTCATGAACATTTGCTGTATGTTTATTGTATAAACATGTAACAAACTTAGCAAGTTTGAACTAACTCAAATAAAATATTTAGAAAAAGTATACTACAAAAACTAACTTTTTTATGGAAAAGACCCAATATAACAGGTTTTATACAAATTTTTATTACAAAACGCAGACCTATACACATTTATAATATTAAAACATTCTAGCACTATTTATATCATTACAAATGTACACTGCTAATCTTTAATTACGACGAATCGTTAATCAAAAATTGATTGGCAGTCACAAATTGAATATTATACATATTGTAAAAAGTTTAATTAAATTTCACCATAGGAACTATTCAATATTATTAATTTAAAATTATAACTTAAATTTACCTTATACTATCAGCTTTAATTATAATCTTTTGTCCAATTAGAGAGCATTTCCGACGTATAAAGTTCTAAATGTAACAGATCAGTCTCAGCTCTTAAGGATGATAAAAACTGATCAATATTTGTATCACATTTATTAACATTTTTATCTAAGGGATAATAGAAGTTAGTTTTATTTTCTGGATAAAAGTTACTAGGAAAATATGTATAGTTTTCTATTTGAGAAGAAGAAGGAATATTATGTATGTAATTATATAAAGGAATATGATATTGTGGATTTAGAGGTTCACCTTGTTTGGATTGCTGTGCATAATCAGTATTATATACATTAGTTAAATCCTTTAAATGTTCATCATCCAAATGCTTGTGGGATTTCACCTTTCTTGTTGAACGTGCAGAAACAGTTTTATAGCTGTTCAATGTATCATGTGTACAAGATTCCGATTTATGTTTATGCTTGCTACTTTGCCTATTACCTGCATATGAATTTAACTCTGCGTTTGATTTTTTTTCATATGAATCAGTATTATTGCATAATCTATCAACATCATCAAGATTATTATTTGTTGGAATTTTGTATGAAGATTTTTCTGTTTCTTTAACAGGATTCACTTGTGTTTCATTCTTTTTCCATCTATGAAATTTACTTTTTGAATATACCTTTCTATTCATTTTATGTTCCTGAAAATCATCACTCTCACTTGAAGTAGTACATGTGTTGTTTTGCAGCCTGTGACATGCTAATTCTTGTATTTTACTATAATCATTCTGTACTGAATTTGTTAATGAATTATTAGAATCATATTCTTCAGTTATTTCATTTTGCTCATCTGTGTTAGTGTGACTTTGTGCATGTAACTCATCTTGCACGATATCTCTTGTATTATCATCCGTAAATTGACCTTCTTTTTCAAATGATTCCTTGCCTAACTCAACTTTGATTGTTGCTAGCAATTCATTAAATGATAAACTCTGAGCTTTTAACTTTTTTATCAAGTTATGTTTTTTAATTTCACTAATAAACGCTACATAATTTACTATTTGCAATAACTTCTCTCTAGGATACGGATCTGAGTTCAAATATTTCAACGAATTACGATAATTATCTAAATCTGTTTTTAATATCATAAGATTTGGCATATATGAATCTTTTTCAACCGGATATGGAAAATATGCATTCAATTTTTGTCCAGGAATTCGATAAGAACTTTTAAAATCCTCTATTTCTTTAAACATTGTTAATAAATTTTCACCTGAAGGATTTCCAAAATACAAATAAGTATCATCTATTTCATCATCGCTTCGTATTTCGGGATAAACACATAAAATAGCATGCTTCTGTATTTTGTAAAATATTCTGAGCATATCAATATGTTCTTGATACACTAATTTTTGAACGGATTCTTTCATAAGTTCCATTGTAGTATCTAATAATTTAATTTCAAATTCAAGTATTTGTTTCCATCCAAGTGCTTCGTTTATTAATGTCTCTTCATCATTTGAAGGTAACTCATTTTCAGATTTGCTAAAACGTTCCATTTGTTCTGAGACATAATGTTTCAATTCCTTTAAACAGTAAACATCTGTAGAATATTGTATCTCATTTGAAATTGTAACATTATTATCTTCCCATGCTGAAGCTATTGGTTTTTCTGTGTCATTTTTAGAAATCATATTTTCAAAATGTGAAGGAAGCTTTGTATCATTTTCACGTGAAGAACTTTCTTTTAAACTTTTATCGTAACGGTTGTACTCCAAATGTTCGGTAATAATGTCAATATCAGAACTGCATAAATTATCTTCTTGGACATCAGTCAAATCAACTTTAAATAATGTATCTTTATTAGCTTTTTCCCATGTAGATAAATTATTTGATTCAAAGTGTAATTTAAAATTGTGTATAACTTTAGGTTTAGATGAACTGTATGACTTTATAGTTATGGTATCTTCCTTATTGACTTTAATTTCTTCAGATTCGTTAAGTTTATTAACGTTTTGTGCAAATAAGGAGCTGACTTTTATTCTACCAGATTTAGATGAAGCTTTTAAATTAAAGGCATTTTTCTGAAAATTATCAACATTTTTGTCTATACTATCCGTATTATCTGTATTTTCCTTATTTATATCAACGGTACTTGCACTATCTTCTACATGTATGTTATTTTGTAATTCTCTGTAAACAGCGCCTAGAGGTAAATCATTTGTACTGTTAACCTCAAATTTAATTTCAAACTGATTTTCGTTAACATCAGATCTTGCATGCAGCTTTTCAAACAATGTATCGGAAGTACTCCATATGTCATTTGGATAGGATACAGGAAGTTTTAGTACATCAAAATTTGGTCCACCAACAGAATTTAACAATTCTCTAAATGTTTCAACTTCATTATCGCCAACTATTGTTATAGAAATACCATAAGATCCATAACGTCCAGCTCTTCCTATTCTATGTAAATATGTTGGACCATCTATGGGTACATCAAGATTTACTACTAAATTCACATTATCTGCATCTATACCTCTTGCAGTTAAATCAGTTGTTATCATTATTCTACATTTAAAAGTTTTTAATTTATTAATCGCATCAAGTCTTTTTGTCATATCTTGATTTCCAGCTATATAAGTTGCACTAAAACCCATTGAATTAATTTTGTTACATACTGATTGAGCCCTGTAATCAAATCATTTTTCTTTCAAAAATTAGTATTACACACCGTTTCTTAAAACTGTATATAAATTTTAATATATTTACCTTGACTGATAATTTGAAAAAACTAAGCTTTGTTTAAATGGAACAGTGTTAAATATTTTTACAAGTTCATCTACTTTTATTTGGACCTTGAACATAAAATACATGTATGAAAATATTGCAATATATAATTGAATAAAATATAGAAGTAACATCAACCTGTCTCATAGCATTTGGATGAAAAGGAACAACTGCTACGAACTGTTTGAGTCCAGCAAGGATTGGTTCATCATTATCTGGGGATGTTACAATTGGAGAACACATATACGTTTGTAAAAAGGTTTCCAAATCTCCAAAATAAGTAGCACTGGATGCTATAACTTGTTTATTTAATGGTAATTTTGAAAAAATATAACTGGAAATGATAATGCATTAAATTTGTTTATCAATTCAATGAATGTAGTATAATATAATTTTGCTGTTATACTTACTTAATATCTTTTTGAAAACTGGTTTCCATTAATTTGTCTGCTTCATCAAGAACAAACAACCTAACATTTTCAACATTTAAAAGCCCTTTATCAATTAAATGTCTGATTCTACCTGGAGCACCAACAGCTACATGACAATTATGTAACTTCTTTTTATCATTATCTATAGGTGTTCCTCCTATAAATACTTGAACTTTTAAACCTGAAACAATAAATTATATTCATAATATTTCTTATTTATAACATATTACAACATATTATTAAATAAAAATGTTTGCTTCATCAATTTCTAGCACATTTACCTTTTATTTCAGAACCTACAGATGAAAAAACTTCTGAAATTTGTACAGCAATTTCTCTAGTAGGTGCTAATATTAACGCTTGTACAGATGATACTTCCACATCAAGCATTTCAAGTGCTATGATGGAAAATACTAAAGTTTTTCCTGTTCCAGACTTAGCACGCATTATTAAATCTATAATAGATTTAATAAATATAAATTACAGAAACTAAAACAAATGTCAAATAAAATTAAAATCTTATATACCAAAACCACACCGTCCTAATGGAATAGCTTTTAACTGGATTGGTGAAGGCTTTAGAAAGCCACAATTAGCTAATCCATCTAATATTTTCTGAGAAAAACCCATTTGAAAAAATGTGACATCTTCTTGTATTTTAATATCCTTTGTGCGTGGCATTTTACTTATATCATGTGCAATAATACGGGCCATTCTTTCTAAAAAAAAAGATACTGTGTCTGTAACAAAATATGCAAAATACTATAAATACAATACAACAGTTAACCTTCTTAAGATAAATAATTATTTTTTTTAATACCGCATTATTATACTTGTACATACATACTTACTTATACAGTTAAAACCTGAGAATAAATAAATATACTATCAGTAAACTAAAATTATTCTGTATATTGATTTCTGCTATTATCTATACAAGCTTAAACAATTATCACCTAACCGGTGTTTATTTTGTCTTATATACAAGATTATGATTTATGCCATTTTTCATATAAACTACCCTTAACAGTCATGCCGATTATGCTCTGTGCATACATACTTCCAGACCTAACCTTAACTGGGGGTGCCTAGGACTCCAAAATCATGATCCCTTGAAAATAAAATCGCACCCAGTCTTCTTGTATCTGTAATCAGAGGCTATATTCAGCTATATTCTGTACCAAATCTTAATGATGGTTCTGTAATCAGAATGAATGTAAATAATAATTTATGTAGCTTAAAATTTGTAGAAATATAACATTGAAATACATTTCAGTTAGTCTTTCTAAGTAGGAAAAGATGGGTCGCCGTTCGATAAACACCACTAAAAGTGGGAAGTATATGAATCCCACTGATCAAGCACGTTAGTAAATAACATAACCAAGCAATTCATTTCTTATTTAATACACAAATTTATTAATTAATATGGTCTGTATTTCATAAATTTATTATAGGTAAAGAAGCACGAAAAAAAGAGTTAAAGAAAAATAAAAAACAAAGACAATTAGTGCGAGCTGCAGTTTTGAAAGGCAAAGATCCAGCTCAAATTATTGAAGAAATGGAAAAAATAGATCAAATGGGTTTGTCTAAAGTTTAATATTTTTCAAGTAATTATATTCATTATTGTCATATTATAATGTATGTATAATTTTTAGAATACAATGTAATGCAACCACCACCTCTGAATGAAAAAGTTTTAAAAGATAAACGAAAGAAACTAAAGGAAACTCTAGATCGTGTCTTAAAAATGTATGTAAGTACTTTAAATATTATAGTTATAAATTTCCTTCAAAAATATTTGGAAAGGTAAAATTAATATTGATAAGTAATGTTTTATAGAATGTTGTATGTTTATCATATTCTGTTCTCTTTTGATTTAAAGGCAAAAGATGATCAAGAAAAATGGGCTGAATTAAAAGAGCAATTAATACAATATGAACGTAGAAGGATAGATTTAGTTTCATATTTTGAAGCTGTAAGACATGCACAACAGGTGCAAGTTGATGAAATTCCTCTACCATCAGCTGGTAATGACATATCCCGAATGTATTCAGGTATATTTTAAACATGTTTAAAGTATTACTCATAATACATACTTTTCTTCAATTTATATAAGACATATTGTTTTAGGTTCTCTAACTTCACAAATACCTTTACCTGATATGCCTCAACCACCAACACATATTTATCCTCCTCATCCACACTATATACCACAACATCATCCTTTAATGAATATACCCATACCACCAAGTATTTTAAAGAAAACAAGTGCATATGCAGCATCTCCCTCCATGCCCACATTAGCACCCAACAAGGAACCACCTGGAGTACCACCTTTTCCTCCTCCAGATTTATCAAGTGAAGATGAAGATGTACCTGAAAAGGTTAGTACTTAAAATTATTCATATAGTATGTGTTCAAAAGAAATAATAATCATATATAATATGTACAGGCTAAAGATCCAGCACCAAAATCCAGGACAATACGATTTGCAGATGATAAAGAAGATAGTAAGCAAGAATCAGACAGTAAAGATAAAGAAACAGATAAAGACAAGGAAAAAGAAAGAGACATGTCTAAGGTGAAACCAACTACTCTACAGCAGAAAATGTTGGCCATGGCAGGACAAGATATCGATCAGTTTATGCGCGAAATGGAAGTTGTTCATAAAAAACGAGAAACTGAACGAGCTCAAGATCTTAATGCTCGGTTATCGTTACTTGAAGAAAATGAATCTAATTCAAAATCTAATAACAAATCTACTAATAATAAAGCAGAAGAAGACGATCTTGAACCCCCAGGAGCATCGGATCATTCTTCAAACCATAATCAACATACATCTTCACATTCTCATTCTCAACATACCCAACCTCATACAATGCCTCCTATGGGAATGCCACCTCCTCCTTTAATGTATAGACCACCACCACCACCATTACATTTAAGAATGCCTCCACCACCACCACCTCGCATTGGTCTTCGACTACCTCCCGGTAAGAATATTGCAATATATAAAATAATTTATGGTATATTATAGCGTTAAAAAGCTTTTTATAAGGCTAATTCCTTTCTGTAGTTATCTTTTTATGTAAACATTAGTACTTTTATTTTCTATTAACCCTTTGTCTATAGGTCCACCACCAGGAATGCCAAGAATGTTAAGACCTGGTCCTCCAAGTATGCCTAGAATGCCACCTCCACAAATGCAAATGCCAAATCTATCAAATATGTCAAATATAGGAAATCCTCAAATGCAGGCACAATCTGCAACTGGATCACAGCCAAAAACACCTAATGTTCTTTCTGCTGCACCACAACTAATTAATAGAAAAGATAAAGATGGCAAAAGTACCACAACTATTGAAGCAAAACCACAAATTAGAAATTTGGCTGCTGATGTTACAAGATTTCTTCCTACCTCTCTCCGTGTAAAAAGAGATGATAAGAAAAAACCAAGTATTTTATCTAGACTTTCAGAAAGAATACCAGAAACACAACCAATACGAACTTCTCAACCTAAAACTAAAGATGATGCATACATGCAATTTATGCAAGAAATGGAAGGATTACTATAAATTTATATTATATTATAATGCCATTTTATTGAGATAGAAAATAATTAAATCTTGTAAAATGTGTTATGATTGTTATTGCTATAATGAAATACCTAATATATATTCCCTAATTTTTAATACTACACGTTCATAAATTTTATCTGACTTTATAAATAAACCTACATGAGATTCTTTTTTCATCAAAATAACTAAAAAATTAAAAGTTATATTTTATGTTTATAAATATTAATATTGTACTTATTAGCAATTATTTTAAATATACTGTATATGTTACATTTAATAGCCACCGAATGATAAATATTTGTATTTGTTATAAATACCATAAAAAATATTTCATTGATAAATTACTTACAAAATGAAGTTTCTCTGTTGTATTTTAATTTATTTTACTTGGTATTTAATTCTTTAATGTCACTTTTAAAACATACGTGCTATTACTTTGTTTAGCTTTAGTTTATTTAATTTTAAATCATAACAGGAATAATCTTAAAATTAATTTTTGTTTTAATTCATAAACTTATCTAAGCATGCGCTTCGACTCCAATATGGCAGACTTTCCATTTCCGACAATAGAAAATAACGTCATTTCCTATTTCTCTCCAACGAGAAAGTAAGTTGGATCCAATCCATTAATGGGTTAGTATGGATTACCCGTGTTTCTTATAAGTTAATTATATTTTACAAGTGAATGTAAAAAGGAATTCTGACGTTTTTTTATGTTCCAAAATTAATTATATTCGAATTAATTTCATCAAAAACTTAAAAGCCAAGATGTATACGAGGAACAGACAAAGCCAAGGCTATGCCAACGGTGAGTTATTTTATATACACATTTAAAATAAGAAGCCCAATTATAATACTTTAATTTAATAAATGTTACATATACATGTTTGTTACATTTCATAATTATATGTTATTAATAAGTTTAAGAGAAAAAAATCAATATCTATGTGTTAGTTTATAGAGAATGGCGTCCTCTAATGAAGATCACTTTGATAATTTTATTTCACGCATGTTTGTAAGAATTGAGAAAAAATGACTATAATAACGTTTCAGAAATTGTGTATTGAAGTAATTGTTAATTTTTCAGTTTTTGTATATATGTAGTTGTATATTTTATTTTAAATCCCTTAATTTTAATTGTAAATAAAGCTTGTTTTTGTTATGAAGTTATATTACTTTAAATTGCAAACATTAACATTAATGTTTATGTTAAGTAATATTACTCATGTGTATAATTACATTTACAGCAAGGAACCAAAATAATCCAAATATAGGATACCAAGGTCAAAACACTGTAAGTTTGATTCTTTTGATAACGACATTCACGTATTAGTATTTTATAAGAAATCTAGAAAAATTTTGAAAAATGTAGCTTTATATGAATAGCTATTATACTTAAACATGTATGCTCAAGTGGAACCACATTAAGTTGAATACATAGTAGCTTTTATATTACAAATTATAAAATATTTTATATACCAAAAAATATGAAATGCTATAGTTCATAAAATCATTTTATTTATTTCTTTTTTTTGTTAAATCTTGTTTTTAGCCCTAAGCTTCCAGAAATAATCAAAAGAATCCTTATGGGCGATGCTTCCTCTAGTATTGCTTCATATTTAAATTAATCTTAGCTAATATTCTATTATATTTAACTAAAAAATTCATTTTTAAACTAATGCACTAAAATTACTTTATCAGAGAAATTAAATTTATTGAGGAAAATGAGATGTTAATAAATTTTTTATTTGAAACAATAGCTGCAAAATAATCTTGTTAAAAACTGTTTTCGCTATATTCTTAGTTTTTCTCAACAACTCTATAACAAGAGTGTACAGTTTAAAAAAAATTGTTGCAAGTAATATTTTTGTTTTTCACGTTTTTTAATAAATGCAGAACTCGTTGATTTGTTTCAAGAACAATACTAGATTATTTGCTACTATATATATATATGTAGAAAATGTTTTTAATTATGTATATGAATACATACATACATAGAATAATCCCAGGAGGAACACATAGTGTGCATTATATTTAATACTTTGGAATTCTATAATTTGAGAATAAGAATATTAGAATACAATTATTATTATCAGCCTTAATTTGGAATTATGATACTAACATTCTTTTTTAATTGTAAAGATATTAGAGTCTGATTTAATATTTTAGAGCTCTAGCTTGGCCCATTTGCTAGCTCAGTTTATACTTTGAAAATGATCATATCTGAATATTTTCTGCATCAAAACAGTAATTTTTTTAAATTAATTGTATACTGTTAATAGTTGTAAATAGTTTTCTTGTAATTGTAATAATTCAATACTTCTGCTTTATTACAAACCATGATATAAACTTACATTCAGCTTTTAGATTAAATTGTATTAATGTAAAGTAAAACAAGGTTGCAAAAGATATTTTACATTTTTTGTAATTAAAATATATAGTTGTTCCATTTGTTGTTTTCAATATTTCGTCCATTTGCATGTACTAATTAGTGGTCCCTACTTCCCCTTTTCCTGCAATGCAGGAACTAGTAGCTATACAACAATACCGAGGAGGTCTATTCAGCCAGGGGCTAGTTCGTCGGTTACCCACATAGCATAACCGTCCATAGGCCATATTTTTTATATTATGCTGAACTGATATTTACACAACACAAATTATTTCTTTTGTTTCAGAAAGTTATATTTCAAACATAAAATGCATAGCAAAAAATTATCAAAATATACTAATATTTATAAGTTTAGCATGTTATAATTATTAAAAGCACATATAGTTTAGTATTTTGTACTCATCATCGATTAAAAAATACTTCATATTGCTTTTTTTACTATTTTTAAACCATTTAATTATTAGTATTCTTCTAAACATACATAAACTACTTTTGTATCTTTTATTCATAATTGGAAGGTTTTGTAAACTCAGTTCAGTTATGAAGAAATATTGGTCAAGAAAGTAATTTGGTTGGTATGAGTTATGGGGGTAGCATTAGACTGCTTCCGAGTACATACACGATGCTAGACCTTGGTGGGATAGCACAACCATAGAGGTTCCTTGTGTAGCGGCGACCCACCCTATGTTTTACAGTACAATCAACAAGGAGGTTTCCAGGGAACTCCGCCAGCGAACCCATCAAGCAATTTCAAGCAAGGAAGCGTACAAAATGTGCAAGCATTTAAACAACAACCACCACCACAAATGCAACAAGCAGTATCAAGAAATCTACAGCAAGTAAAACCACCACAACTACAGCAACAACCATCGCCGCAAATTAAGCCACCACAACAACCTATTGCAAATTCTCCTCAAATTCAGCCTCAACCACAATCTCAACCTCCTCCTCAGTCTCAATCACAACTTCAACCACCATCTCAACCTCAACCTCCGCCTCAACGATTAAAACCAATTTTGAAACAGCCTTCCCAGCCTGTACAACAACAAAGCTCAATAACAACACAAAATAATCCTGTTTCATCTTCTCAACCATCAGTTCCTACTCCAGCATCTCCTCTAACAACTAATTCTAATCCCACACCACCAGTAAATAATAACAGTTCTGAATTAAAAACTGAAAATCAAGTGCCTGAAAATACAGATGTTGAAATGCAAGAACAACTCCCAAGATGGAGACGTAAAGCACCTGGGTGTAAGTAATTAATATGTAATGTTTATTATATTCTTCTTAAATTTTATGTTTTCTTAAACTTAATTGAAAAATACTTTTGAAAAAAGCCCACTGTTGATACTAATTCTCTTTCAATCTGAAAAAATAATTATGAAAAACTTATTGTCATTTTTCTGAATAATTGTATTATTTAAAATGTACTTGATAAAATGATGAAAAATCACTGCGCAAATTTGAAGATTGTAATAATAATGTCATCTGCTCCAATAACTTATTGTTGAGCTATGATATTTTTATTATAACCATTGTGAATACTTAATACTGATATTTATGTTGAACTAAATTAATTGATGCCATAGTTTGATAAATGAAGTAAAATTTGTATCTTTAGTTAGGGTAAGTAAAAAGTTGAAGCGACTTCGTCTGAACCAGCGGTTAAGGAAAACATTACAACCAAAGAATGCAATCATGGTACTGAATGAAATGAAAGCAGGAGTGCAGTTCACATTTCCTGAAACTCAAGGACCTATGCCAAACTCGCTGTACCTTGTTCATGCAGAGGTAAATCAATAAATGTTAATTATTATAGAATTAATATAATTTTTATATTTATTGTTCTAAATAAAAACAAGTTGCATAGAACTCGGACGATTGGTTCTTGAAATAATCGTCGACATACATACCGAAGTACTTCATTTTATATAACGTATATCAATAAATGATGATGATCATAGTAAATAGTTTTTCAAATAGGTAACGGCAGCTAACATGTGTAGCTCTAAAAGTAACCTATGTATAAAAAATATTATGGACTTTATAAATTATGTTTCACTTGAATAATATAATGTTACTACTTTCGAAATATAAGATATATTTGTAAGCTAATTATTATTAACATAATCTAAATAAAAACAGCTGGATGGAAAAACCTATGTTGGACAAGGATTGTCTAAACCTCTTGCCCGTCAAAATGCTGCTGAAAATGCTCTGAAGGCTTTGTTACTTGAAAAAATGACTGCAGCATCTCTAAAAGCACGGATTGATGCTGAATCAGATGGGCAATCAAATCAGTCCACAGATTCATTTAATACATCCAAGGATGACAATACTGAAGATGGTGGAACATCAATGGATACCACTATTGATGAAAGTAATGAAATTCCATGGAGTTCATTGGCTAGCTTTGCATTATATAAACTTTTCCTTGAATGGCATAATCAGGGAACATCTGTTCCGGTTCCAAGACCAGGATTGCCATCACCCGTTAAAGGAATCAAAAGAGAGATTTCTCAGGTTCCAAAAACTCCAGTCCAAAAAGAACTTCCACCAAATGCAACAAACATACATCCTGTAATGTTATTAAATCAAATGAGACCAGGTTTAACATATATAGAATTAAATCGGGCTAGTAATCCACCTAACACAATGTTCACTCTTGCTGTAGATATTGATGGTGTGGAATATACAGGAACAGGTAATCCAATCTTTAATTTGAAATTATATTCTATACATTAAATTTGGAACTGATTGAAATTAGAATACATACAAAAAAAAAGAAGTATCTTCTTTATCATGCTTTTATAAAAAATATATACATATATTGCAGCTAAAAATAAGAAAGATGCCAAGAAAATTGCAGCAAAATCTGCGCTCTTAGCATTATATGGTTTAAGCTATCCAGATGAGACCATACCAATACCCCAAGAGCAACAAATGGCTTAAAAAAGAATGACATATGGATATAATTGATTTTTATCATTTCGATTGACCACAATTTCAGTTTGACTGTTCCAGTTTATAAATTATATAAATTACTACGAATTGTAGTAAAGAATCTAAAATTTTAATTATTGTAATAATAACTACAACTTATTATGAAAACTTTACAGAAGTATTTTTTTCAATAAAATTTCACATTACAGTATAAATAATTTAGCAAACGTACTATATTAAAGTGATTGACATATTTCTTTTATTAATGAAGTTATATATTTTTATATGTGTTTAATTGTATTTTACGATAAATTAACACCTTAGTATGAATCATGTTTAAAAAATATATAAATAATTCATTATTATTCTTATTAATCTGTTCCTAATTGAATTCAGTATAATGTTATAATTACCATACCAATATAAAACTATCTGTAAGTGAAGAAGTAATGAAATTGTAATTTAAATCATAATTTACCAGAAAAGAATGTTTGTTCTTTTGTTTGGTTTTTTTTTTCTTCTTCAAAATAGTCTACTTTTATATGTAGTCCACAACTTACAGTCGTTTTGTATTCAACCTTTTACATTGTAATGTCATATCCAAATTAAAATCTGAATGTATTAATAAATTACAATATTATGAAAATGTTGTGCTTTTATTGTTCATTATCAAAATAATTTGTAATATTTAATTAAATACGTATGAAAGCTTATATATCATATTATACCTCAGACTTCAGACTTTAAACCTTATTTAGAAATTTGACTACTTAATAAAACATGTAGCTATAAGTAATTAAGTGCTATGGCAACGAGCTTCCAAACATTGAAGTTCGTGTAGTTATATGAAACACAAGTATGCATAAATATGCGACCACTAAAGATAATTGTTATTGGACCTGTTAGGGTAATATTTATTATGATAATTAATGTGTTATTTTATATTTAAATCGCTTTAAAAATATCTTTTAGAGTGGTAAAACAATGATAGCTAATTTTCTAGCTGATGCGACGGAAATACCCTACGATTATTATCCAACTCAAGGAGTTCGAATATTGGAATTTGAAGTAAATGATATAAATGTGGATAACAAATATATTACGAAAGATATTGAATTATGGGATTGCAGTGGAGATCCTAAGTAAAATCAAATGTCTTATTTACGATGTAATCATTTATGAATATTATATAAACATATGAGTTGGAAATGTTTTAGATTTGAAAATTGTTGGCCAGCTATAAGGAAAGATTTACATGGCGTTATATTTGTGTATAGCGAAAAATCAAACGATTGTTTAAAAGTAATACAACAATTATATGATTATTTTATTGATCAAATAAAATTAGGTCCAGATCGTTGTGTAATATTTTGCTATGACCCTGAGAAAAAAAATCCTGAAATATCAAAAATTATTTGTAAGTATCAATGAGTATGATATTGAAAATTTTCATACTGAAACAATATACTGTTATTTTACAATAAATATAGCATCAACATTTGTGAAAGTGTCCCATGTAAAATGTAATATCGAAAGTGGTGGAAGCAAACTAAAAGCTGATTTTTCTTCATTCATAAGTACAATACTTGGTAAAATGCACAATTACAACGAACAAGAAGATAAAAATATTTTAAGTAATAATATATTATTTGCAAGGTAATATAATACAATATTATATTATTATATAATAGTATAACACATTTTACATGTAGGATGAATAAATAACAGTTGTCATATGAAATATATTTATTAATTTTATAAAAGTATTTCATATGAAATATAAATGTATATATGTTGTAATGTATTTTATGCATTGCCAATAAATTAAATAGTTCAGAAACATGATTTAAAAAAATATAATTCTACCCTTCAAAAATTGTCTTTTATTCTTTCTTAAATATTAAATGTGTATTCATTATTTTAAGATTGAAGTTATTAAAAGTATATTTACTTAGTAGAATGTAATTTGTACTTAATACACAGGTTATTAAAAATAAACACTATTATATACAAAATGCGAATAAGAATTCTACCTGAAAAACTAATTAACAATATATCAGTTAATTTTTTGTCTGAGTAGATAACAATTTCATTAATTCATCCCATGCTTTTTGCACTTGTTCCAGGGTGATATCATGACTCCATAAAGTACATATTACTACATTAGCTTCATTAACTTGTTCTACATTGCTCGGTTGAGCCTGAATTCTTAACTTTGCATCATCTACAGTTAATCCATTTCTCTCTATTACTCGTCTTATAGCCTAGAATTAAACAACAATAGTTTTACATAGAATGTAATCATAGCTGTAATACATAGATTAAAATCTGACCTCCTCTTGTGGAATAATACATGTCCAAATTTCATGACAGAAATGCTGCCAATTAGCTTGAATTAGTACAGCAGCTTCCATTACAATTACATCAAATCCTTTTGCATAAAAATCATTTATCTGTTTCTTTGCTTCTTCTAAAATGATAGGCCAAACAATGTTATTTAATTTATTTAACTGTTCCTACAAACAAATTTATTTTCAGATATAAATTATACAAAATAAAAGAAAAACTGAATATTATAATCTTACCTTGTTGTTAAATACTATATTGCCAAGTACTTTCCTATCAATAAATCCATCTGGTTTTAAGATAGTAGAACCAAAGTGCTCAACTATTGCATCAAAACACTTTTTGCCAGGTAAATATAAATCATGTGCTATTTTATCACAATTAACAAGACCTGCACCTAACTTTTCTAATTTGTCAGCAACTGAAGACTTTCCACTTGCTATACCTCCAGTCAAACCAATAATGTAAGGTTTTACAGACTTATTTTCTATTTTCTGAAAATAATTTAAAAATTAATAACTTCATACAATGAGAGATTTCACATAATACATACAGGTGGACGAAGTCTTGTACCCAGCAATCTTATTCTATGATTACTAGAACTGACTTTACTTTCTTCATGGTTTCTGTGATTTTCATCGGATATTAGTTTTATAATATGTATATCTAACTTGTTTAAGTTGTTTTTTACACGTATTTCATTTACTTTATCTCCACCACGTTTAGTTTCTTCGCTAACTACAATCATCTCAAATGATGGGTCAGATTTAGTTGGACCATACATATCATTTATTGGTACAACATCATACATTAGTGTTGAATCAATATCTTCTAAAAAATCTTTGAGATTTAGAATCCTTGTCTGACAAGGCTCTATCAGTTCCCACAATAATTTTCCTATAAAATGTTTACCATTTTAGATGAAACATGTTTATTTCTTATTAGATATTTTTATCCGTAATAATTTCTTACCAGATAACATATTTGTATCAGTTACACCAACAGTAAGCTTTTCTGAACAATGTAATACAGCTTCAGTTAAAAATATTTTATGCCCATTATGTATTCGATCAAATGTACCACCAAGTACTACATTCTTATAAATTTTTTCCTCATTAACACCATCCTTGTTAATGCATGTATTACTTATTTTCTCTACTTCTTGATCATCATTAAAAGTAACAAAATTACAGCTCATAGAAGTATTAGCTAGATAATCTTGTATAAATGTATAAGCTTCCTTTGTACTATAAACTTGATCAAAAATAACTATTTCTACAGGCTTTTTAGTATTTATTATTGATAGATTAGGATTCTTTATGCTTGTTAGTAACACCCGAATATCAAGTGGTGGAAATATAGTAGAAGTGTCTGTATAAATTTTAGAAATGGTTTGAGCACAAGAACTTAATACTTTCCATTGAGAATTTGTGAATGCATGATTTCGAGATAGAAAAATGTTCTTTTCCGGAAGATATTGAATATACAGAGTTTTCAATACATGCTCTTTGATTATTGGTAATAATTTCGTTATTTTTGTAGGATTTGTTAAAACTAATAAACCGGTATTTGCCATCGTGTATGAAATAAAATTTGTTTAACCTTTAATTTATTTTCGCCTAGTAATGACATATGCTACGTTGAACTTAGTACATTAATATTTTTACATGATAATTTGATGTTACATGACGTAATGAATTGTCAGAGAATGGGTACTTCTCTGTCAGTACAAGTAATTCCCCCCGCATTTGATGTTTATCATCTGTTGACGTGTTCTAAACCATTGAATATGAATATTGAAGAGAAGTTGATATTTTAATAATAGAAGTTGATATAAAATGTTATTTCATTCCATTTTTCTATTTCAAAATAATACAGTCTCATGTCAAGAATTCAAAATGACTTCCTTCAAAAGATATCAGTCAACAATATAAATTAGTATAATTTACACCTATTTCATAACTACATTTATTTCTCTTATTATTTACAATTGTTATTTTAATGCTGCTTATACGTAAATATTATAAATTTAATGATGAGTAATTAACAATTTGTATAAAATTTTAAATTATGTGTAAGGAAATCAATGCTACAATATTTGTTTTATATGAAATTACATACTGAATTTATAATGTTTTGTAACTGGTGGTGTAGAAGAACATCGCAAGGTTTTATTTGATGAAGTTTTATAATGTCCAATTAACCACTGTGCTAATTTTATATGGTTACTGTTAAATGCCATTTTTAATAAAATATCATACCATTTATTTTTTAAACCAAATTCACACCCTACAGAAAAATAAATTGTATCAATATTATACAAATAAAGAGTTTTATATTCAAAATAACTAACCAGTTTGTAAAAGGATTTCTAGGCAGGAAAAATCATTCTTTGTTGGATCATTAAGAAAATGATAAACAGCCATACATAAAGCATTTTCTCCTGTGATGGTACTAAGGAAGGGATCAGCGCCTATATAAATTCAATGAATAGATATAGATTATTATAAATTTATAGATCAATATTTAATTTGTATTACTTTATTGAACATATACCTTTTGCTAACATAAATGCTATTAAATATGTATGCCCTTGGAAACAAATGCGATGAAAAGGTGTCAAACCGTTCACTGAAGATCTTATGTTTAATAATTGTGGACAACAAACTACTATGTCAATGCATTTTAATGCATAAGCTTTGTTAGAACATTTCTAAAAGTATCATATAAATATTTCATAAACATATTACATATTAAAGTCAAAAGATTGCTATATATTAATTCCAGAAATGTTATTTAAAAGTAACATCTTTTGTATAAATTTTGATTATAATCTTTAATGTAAAATATAATTTTATTTACATCAGCTGCATATTCTAAGGCATTAAACATTTCTTTATGACTGATTATGCTTTGGCATCGAGTAAAAGAACGATTAAAATTTTTAATGACTTGCAACTTTTCAAAATATTCTTTGGATTCGCTAGCGAATTTTGTATGGCGGCGTTCTGAAATTTAAAATTTTTAAAATATTTCTGCGAGTTTTATAATAAGTAGATGAAATATACAATTAATTAATGAGATTTTAATCAAGCTAACTACTAAAATAAATTTGAAAATTTAAAATATAGCTACCATGAAAGTGATAAAGTATATACGAAATAACTACAATAAACCCAACGGCACCAATGAGTTTAAAAATGACAAACGTTATTTCAGCTAATTCCATGAAATATTTCCATAAAACATCGTAGAACGATTCGTTATACTTAATTATAAGACTCATAGTTTTAGTTTCTCTTAAATGATTTTCTTCTTCGCTCGTAAAATACGTAAATTTTCTCTTTTTAGAAAACCACTTTTAAAATGAGAGATCTCTTGATCTAGGAACAATAACTGCAGATAAGAATCTACATATGGCAAACATTTCCCCATACCTATGGTGAATAACCAATCAGAATGAGCGGGTAAAGATGCAGGATGTCCTCTTTCAATAGTCAACACTCCGGAAGTGATCGTGTCGGAGGGGTAAAGAGAGCCGTTACCCTGAATAACGATTAGATATACCCCGAATCCTCGATTTAAAGTTCTAGAACGGGGTCGTTGTAGGGGGCAGCGATATTCAGGTATTGCAACGAAAACAATTGACGCAGACGTAAGTCATATTCGTCAGAATGAATACATTCTGTCGTAAAACCCGTCCCTAGTGTTTACAGTCTTTCTTTATGGAACTAATCGTTGTTGTGATTTCAAATCAGTGCAACTATTTCTAAAACTTCGATAGTGATTGTTTGATTCTTCAATCGATTCACTCAAGTTCGACTGGAACGTATAATAAAAATCTAGTTCACGTAAAGATACTTCATTGTATTCCTGAGTGGGTTACTTCAAACTATAATCTCTTGTTACGAAAATGGCGAATTGTCCGAATCGCCGATATTCGTACGAAAATTCATTACATTTTTACATGGATTACACGAAGTGAACTTCTCTCCAACTCTGATGCGGAAGAACTTTATTGGGGCCAAGTAAGACGAATAAATTTCGAATAGTCAGAAAGATGGATGCAACAATTGAAAGGGAGTGCAGTGCTTTGGGTGGCCTTTTTCAACAGATTATAACTGACATGAAGGTAAGTAACGTCGACGCTATCAGTATTCGATATTTATTTTCAGAAGCGACTGCGTTTTTTGCTGTTCATCATTTTTGTATGTTTCGTATCTTTGCACAGGTAATGATGCAAGCAAAGACGCATTGTCGATGCACAGTATCCTTAACACAGATTTCGTAAATATTGTGAAGTCATTGTAAACGAAAAAATAACAGATTTCTTCGATATTCTTTTCTATATGATGAAGAAAGTTAACTCATACTTGCTCTAGTTTTGCGATGGAGCGTCGAAATATTTTTTACTTTCCATATAAGAATAAAGATTACATATGTACCTTTTGCTCCAATAACATGCAACATGTAAATACGAATTTTTAGAGTATCCTATACAATAAATTATATGTTATTTGTAATAAGTATTTTAATAATAATTTATTCATCAATTGTCATGTTACTTAGTATCGTAGTTATAGAGTGGTCTAGTATTATAATCAATGTAGTTTCATGGTTTATAAAATTATCTAATCTCAAAAGATAGGTAGGCGTACATGATTACATTAATGTTATCAATGTATTCTATAACATTTGTATAGTATAAGAGTTACGTTTAAAACATAGATAACTCGACAGTAATATTTATGTAATATCAAATATTAGAAATGTATGATGATTGTTTTTGTAAATAAAAAGGTACGACAAAATTTTTGTTTCTAGAATGGGGCTCCATTATGGGAGGATTTAATTTCAAAAGCAACAAAACTACATTCATGCTTAAGGTAATAATTGTTCTAATTGTATTTGTTAATTATATTATTAATAAACTAATTTGTAAAAGAAACAAACAACGCAATCAGATTTAATGATATAATGTTATTTTAGGGCTGCTATTTTGGCTGTGTCTGCATATCTTGAAACATTTCAAAAAATTGCTGATGCTGCAACTAATGCAAGAGGTAATCCGCTGTTTATCTTATTTTCTATATTTGTTAAAAATCACTGTATGCATTCTTTTTATATTATATTGTAAATATATATTTTCAAATTAATCTGTAAAGTACATTAATTATTTTTAAATCCTATTTTCTATATTAAACAAATAATGTATTTAGTTAAAAATTAACCAATTTTTATAATCAAGGTGCCACAAAAGAAATTGGTACTGCTTTGACACGGATATGCCTTAGGCATAAAGCAGTAGAAACACGTATGAAATCATTTACCAGGTAACTGTCTTGCATCACGCTCTAATAATTTAGAGTTGTTCATTATTGCTGTTTTATTTGACAAACTTTTTATTAGTGCTATAATGGATTGCTTGGTATTACCTCTTCAAGAGAAATTAGAAGATTGGAAAAAATCTTTAATAAACTTAGATAAGGAACATGCCAAAGGTCAGTAAAATAATTCATTTTCATCATTGTACAGTTTGAACATATTTTTCACGTATATATTTATTATGCTTAAAACTATAATTTCAGAATACAAAAAAGCGAAAGCAGAGTTAAGAAAACGATCTACTGATACGTTACGTTTGCAAAAGAAAAAAGCGCGTAAAAGTCAACATTTACAAGGACAGACTCAGTGTCATGGTCCATTATCAGGGGACATTGAATTAAATCGAATGTTGGAATCTTCCGCTGCTGTGGTTCAAGAAAAACGTTTAAGCTTAGAAGAAACTGAAAGAAGAGCTGTTCGAGCAGCTCTACTCGAAGAAAGAGGCCGATATTGTCTTCTTGCTAGATTTTTAAAACCTGTACTTGTTAGTAGAATTCATTAGATAATGAATAAAATTAATTTTTTCAATGATAACATTAACAATGTATGTATACAAAAAATACTTAGGATGAAGAAATTGCAATGTTAATGGAACTCACACATCTTCAAGAAGTTTCTGATCAATTACAACGACACGCAGCTTCTCCGCATCATTTGCCACCCGCATCAGAGCAAGTGATAACAGATATAAAAGGTTGCGATGTTACACAATGGTCGCTTGCTACTCCTCCTTCAAGTCCTTCTCTATCTCTTGGATCACGGAAAAGTTCAATGTGTTCAATCAGTTCTTTAACAAGTAGCAGCAGTGGGTCTTGCAAAAGTCATCCAAGCCCATCTGGACATCCTTGGCATAGATCACTTTCTCAGGTGAAAATTTTCCCCAATCACGATGATATTGAAACTTAAAATTTTCATTCTTTCCGCTTAGTTATTGTACTAAAAATATTAGCTTTTATGATGCATGGCACCATTAGTTTCACTGTATATGCACTCTAGCTGTTTGAAGCAAGTAGTTGCTCGTAGATTATACAGCATGAATGCCATTTGGCATCGGCTTAGTGTATGTGGTAGTCGATGTTGTACTCGTTGTAGCCTGCCGGTGTCAGGCCCTCCAGCATCAGCGGTATGATGACGCTCCGCCACTTGGCAAACGGTAGTTCCCGTGACTCTGGCTTCACTTCTCAGGACACACTCTATACACAGCCAATTTCTGAACATCAGGTAAGGTTGCTAGAATATAGCTGCCTGCTAGCATTTCACGATTTTTTGTTCTATTTGCAACACTAAACAGAGCATTGATCAATCAAATACGAATGTTTTTATTGTTATGTTGTTGAAGATAAATTGTGTTGTCGTAGGTATCAAATGTGTCTTCTCAAACTAATAAAAATACTGGTTGTACTACAACAAGACCTGTAACTACTGCTACTTGGCCTGACTTGCAGGAAACGTCAGTTCAATATGATAGGCAGAATCAGAACACAGTCAACGAACGACCCCATACTATTTCTTCTGGTAAGATGATTAAAAGGTTGAATTTTGTATTTAAGAATAATACGATTTTTTTTTTATTAATATGTTTTTTTATTACAGCTTATGAAAAAGGCCATCAAAGACCAGCACTCAGTGTCTATACATTCCAAGCTCCGGATGTTAGTGGCTGTTGTCATAGTCAACCTGCTTCTCCAGTTTCTTCTTCCTCTTCATGTTCTTCCTCTAATCAAGCATCTAGAGTACAACTGCGTAGGAATAATGGTAGTAATCGTCCTCCTATACCGAACAGATGTTCCAGTTTAGAACGACCTACGGTTCCAATGAAGAATGAACCTCCCGGAAGTCCTCGAGGCAAACCTAAATTACCATTGCCAGCACACTTAGCAAAAGGTTCCTATTATTCTTTGTTTAATACTTTGATATTTAAGGAATAATACATAACGTTATAACTTAACGCAGAATTAGCAACCCATCAACTTCAACAGCCAATGTATGTGAATATGCACGAATTGGCAAATTTAGCCGCAAGCCGTGCTCAAGAAATGCAGTTACCGTTACCACCACCTCCTGCATCGCTATCAACACCAGGAACTGAGAAGGTATACGTCGAAACTTGAATGACTGTATATAATTAAATTTCACAGGTTAAGTTTTGATTTAAAAATGAATATTTGTAGACTGAAGTTACGGAAAAAGATGGCGGAAGTCAAACATCAGAATCCAGCGTTGAATCTAGTAGTGGGTATGGAAGTCAAACCACTATACCCCATTCACATTCGCTTCAAAATCAAAATGAGAATAATTGGAATGTACCTGGTGCTGCATCTACTTTGATGATTCGAAGAGGATCGATGCAGCAAGCGATCAAACCTCCTCCGCCAACAAGACGTACATCTACTATTATAACTGCCACATTTAATAATCCTTCATCAACTTCTAATGATGAACGTACTGATAATACTTGCGACGAGGTTGAAAATCTTCCTCCGCCACCAGCATTTTTATTAGAAGGTTCTTCACCAACGGCCAGCCCTACTCCTCAACGGTAAGAGGCAATTTCATATGACTTTTATCGAAACAAAATACCTAAATAACACGTGAAATATTTATTTTGTATGGTAGATCTATCTCGGTCTCAGAAACAGTAAGGACTCTCACAGAACTGCGTCATACTCCTGCTAGCCCTTCTCTTTTACGGAAAGCTACAGGACAGACACAGTCGCATAACAATACATCTACTACGTTACAACACAATGCTGTATTACAAGTTACTCGAACGAATGTTGAACGTTCATGTGCGGCCATTCGTTCAGCTTCTCAAGAGCGTGGTTCGAATACCACCACGCAAGTGACTGGAATCAGCACGAGTGTTAACATTCAAGGGCAAGGTCCGGGTGGGGTAGGTCAAAGCTTTATGGCTGTTCTCAGTGCTAAGCTTATTAATAGCACGGGTAATAATAATACCACAACTGGTAACAACACGAGTAACAGTCCTAAATCAGCAAGGAAACACTCTGTCGAACAACAGATAAGTAATAAAAATACCAAAACACCGTCTGGTTTTCTTGAAACTTTAAATGCTAAATTAGCGCAACAACAGCAAACTTTACAAGGTAATAATACAACAAGTAGATCAGCGAGCGTGAGACGCATAATGGGCAATCGTGTACCTATTATGGATCCTTTACAAGTAAGGGACTCTCTGATGGATCAGATACGAAAAGGTACCTCTTTAAGAAAAACCAGTGGTCCCATTAATGATCGTTCGGCTCCTAAAATCTATTAACCGTTTTAATACCGGTGTTCACGTAAGTTCCTCTATGTCTGATGCATCTGAATTACATTAACGAATGTTTCGGCAGTCGTAACACGCATTATTGGGCATGATCAATAATGTCTTTACGTCGTCAAATAGATTGACGATTTTTACACGGTGATCGTATACATGTACCTTTATGAACGTATATTCGGTAACTCGAAATCAGTATAGACTGACTGACTTCTTTGCATTACGGTGCAAAGAGGTTAGATTGAAAGAGTAAATTGTTTACGTAAATTCGTTAATACAATTATTAGTTTTATTATTGATTGTGTAGGAAAGACGAGCTCTATATTAAATCCATCCTTAATATACAATAATTTAGCTGGTGTTATGATGTACACATAATATTATATAAGTAATATATACCTATTAAATTGGTGCAAGAAAACTTTATCTTAATTTTTCAGTTAGAGTCTGGTGGTATTGTATGTGTAATTGATAATTAAAAATAGTAAGATTTAAATAATATATTTATAAATTAAAATAAAGTAGTAGATTAATATAAACACATACACATCATTTCAACTTTTAGTTAGTTTAGTTTGAATTGATGTTTTGTTATTAATGCCCGATGCTTGCCAGTACTACGGGAAAGCTGACTGATTTTGAAGTATCTTAGGAACAATTTAATATTTTATATTTTCATAAAAAAAAAAAAAAAGAAGGAAAGAAGATAACAAAATCCGCGCATAATTTAATATAGAGCTTTTGTCTTAATATATTGTTATTTTACATGTAGTTAATTCATTTTTCCTGTGTTTTCTGTTTTTCATTTTTATGTATGAAACGCACAAGCACAGATATCTTTATTTTATTATTACTTTTGTGTTTTACTTGGCATAATGTTCACTGTGAACACACTTTCTGATAGTAAAAATCTGTCAACCAGTGATGCCAGTTGGTATGACAAAATTCAACGTAAATATTATATAAATATTACTGCCCAGGTAGAACTTATTTTAGAATAAGTTTTTATATTGGCTCGATTATTCCATCTGTATCTTTCACCTAATATTGATATAATACTATATTGCCTATACTACAGTATTACTATTTTATTGTCGCTTTTTTCAGGAGTGTTTCACGAGTCATTTACATTGTATTAAACATTTTGTATGAGATTCACATGGTGTCCCCTATATTACACTAATAATTTTCTTCCATATACATCGATCTTTTATTTTTCATTCTAGGAAATAGTATTTGTAATTGATACAAACATCATAGATTTACCTGTTAGAATGATTCACAGATCAACATCTGAATTGTATATCGATACGACATATCAAATCTTTTGTATCGCTATGATTTTTTATATTAATATTAAGCATTGTATCATACTGTTACAGAATTGTTAAAATGTGTGCATTTACTATTGTTCGAGTATTTGCTATGAAGAGTATTGGGTCAACATTTCGTCCCAGTATTTGCGTTCTGCCTGGGCAATGCTGTTCCAGTATCGGTAAATATTAAAGTAAACGTGTATGTGTGTCCCAGAGCGGCGAAAAATGGATGGTACGATGGTTTTTCTTTTACATTGGCAAATATTATACACCTTCAGCGCATTGAATAACAAACTTTAGATATCAGATACTGATAAGTATCTCACTGTAAAACAAAGTATTATTAATCACATTCGTCTCGTTTCTTTAAGTTAAACGCTCGCGACTAAGATTTTATAATCTCTATTGTATCGCGTTATTTATTAGTACAACTTGTGGTATGCAGTATCGAGTATAGTCGGTTTCCCGAGGAAAGCTTATCATGCTCGGTATTGTACTACACTTTTTTCGAAACGAACGTTTCCGTAGGCGAATACGAGATACCTGACTTGTATCGAATACTTTTAAAACTCTCTATCGACTGAACTGAAAACGCTACTGCCAATTTCTCTAAACATTCTTCTTCGACGTTCCTTTTATTCCTGATGGCAATTAGATTTTACGTTTCTTTTTTAGCGACCAGCAGGTTTCGTAGCGTACAATATAAATAATCTTTTATTTATTTCGAGGAAACTGCATCTTACCGTTTACAAATGATAATAGAAATAATGCTACACTTCCGCAGTTGATACTGTTTAGATATTTAATGCTGACAAAACAATAAACATGGGTGTTCGTAGTAGATAGTACGAATAATTAAAAAAAGTAAAAAAAATGAACAAAAAAAAAAGAAGATAAACGAACATTGTACGAAAAGAAAACACGATCCGTAGATGTTCAGAACTATGTTTTAATCCGATCAGCATTAAACGACAACACTCTTAGTACGTTAATGAAATAAAGTAAATAGATAACCGTACAGTCCGCTGTAAGAGAATAATATATAATGTAGCTAAAGTTCGAGAAGTGATTGTTAATTTGTAATAATTATTTCAGTAGCAGATCAGATGAAAAAGATAATAAATAGATATGTAACAGAAACCGATATTCGCTTCCTTGCGTGTTCACTTGTCAATATATAAATATATATATATATGATATAATAAAAAAAAAAAACACAGAATAAATTAACCAATTTAATACGTCGAAAGCTTTATTCATAGTTCAATCGATTAATTAATTAAAAAAACAGAGAGAAATCATTCCTTAATAACTATAGCGACGTTGATGAGAAATTACATATGTTCTTATGTGCGCTACACACGCGTTGGCTTATTCTATGATTATTCACAATAAACTGATTGACATACTTGTAGATAAAGAAACAGAGGAATTATGTATATACCTCGCGGCGAAGTTAGACGAAAAATATCGTGATATTCACCCACACATACATACATATATATTCTCACACACGAACACACACAGGAGCGAGGTCAATTTTCCATCAAAGTTTTGAGAAAATTTGATCACACTCTCTTATCGCTGTAAACATTCGTTCGCAAATCCAAGTGTTTGGTTTCGAATGTTTGCGAGTAAATTGGTAAGCAATGAGTACTTTTTTTTTAGTAATGGTTTAATGAATTGATCTCTGCAAGCAGAGAATCTGTATCGGAGCAATTTATTTTCATTAAAAAAAGAATTTCAATCGTTTCAGGCGAGAATGCAAGAATGGTACATCAGCCGCTGCTCATCGCTTGCCAATCTATTCATGATTTTGTGAAGTTTAATCCCTTCGGTATGGTGAGTTATTTATAATTACAAATTGTAATTATTTATTTTCCAATCTAAACTTTTCGTTTACTACTTTAAGAAATTGAGAAATTTGTAGTGTCTTCTGCATTCAGTGTGTAATAAAAAAAAAATTGTTCAGTAGAAATACATATTTAATTTGAATATAGGTAATTATAGTCATCAGTCATGCCGGTTGACACTTGTTACCGAAAGGGTTAAAGGTCGCAAGATCCGATCAGTTCAACCATAGACCGGGAGATCCTAATACCTATGTGCATTGAACCTTTTCTTCATTCGAACAGGTAGATCGTGCCTCTGCCACTGTACAGGGCACACCGCTAATTGGGGGCAATCCGTATATGTAAAACGAGTCGTTCAGTGTCTGTTTGTGATCCCCGGATGCGAGAAAGTCGTTATCCTTGTTTATGATTAACGCTAGACTTCCGGCTGCAAGAAGATATTTTTTTATACGAGAATATTGTAAAACGTACGTGTCATAGGTGTATCGGTATGGTGGTTTAATTATCGATGTGTATTAATGGAAATACGTACGAGTATCTAATGGTGAACAGGAACAATTCGAGCTTAAAGTGAACTCGACTGTGGCACGAAGCCGTTGAACCTCACGGGATGCATGAAGATCCAACAACATTCTTGCTTTACGCAGTCGTCTAATAGCCACTTTAACCACGCTACTTGCCGAACAATAAATATTCCTGATGTCTGACGGAATCTTGTCCATGCATATAGGACAAAACTGTTCCGCTCCCGTTGGCGCTAAATTAAAAATGTAACGGTAAATAAGAAACGAAAAATAAACACTGATTGTACGTGTAACTGTTGTAGATTGTAAAATACATTCACTTACACCAAACGTCCGTCTCGATGTCCGTGGTATTCTTTATCTGACTGTCAAATTCCTCCTGTAAGAGATCGTCTAATTTAATTTTCATTATAAAAAAAATACAGTAAATTCTCGTTACATTGCAGATTACGAGGCTGTAGAAGTGGAAAATTCTTGGAATTGACAATATAGAAAGAACTTCTTCGGTGCAACGTTTTGTGATAGTTATAGGTAATTATATGTAGATATATTTAGATAATTAAAATTCTCTTTTAAATATTATTATCAATTATACCTGTACAGGTTCCTGTTCTCCCCATTGCACAGTTTGATCTTCGGTTCCAAGTGTTGGCGTCAATTCAGGCACCCCATTGGTAGCTATAGTAGTCTCCATTTTATAATCAATCGTATTCGGTTTCACGTAAACCGGTACTGGTCCTTCCATTCCTTCGGGAACATCCAGTTCGTGTTTCATAACAACGAAAGAAGAATTTAATACATCTTTTGTTGGTAATCTCATCGCGCTTAATTGGAATGTTAAATTTTTTGCCGGTTTTTCATCAATTGGTTCCGCACTGCCACACATCGAAGCGATTTTATAGCTCTGGAAGAATTTATATTTGTTACAATCATTGCTTTATAACTTTCTGATTCTTAATTCTTAGATATTTACGCTGGACACCATAAGCTCTTGTTGATAGTAATCGTAAAGCTTGACATTAGCTGGCTCAAGACGATCGACGACGTTCTCCCTTATTATCTTGAAGGAGATGCAATTCTTTTGACTAGTCAATTTATCAAAGTAAATAGAAACCATATCGTTATCCTCCTCGAAACGTTTCACTCCTGTTATTTATACATTATTTTCAATTATTATTTTAATTATTATTAATTGATTTTTAATTAGAAAAATCAGGATCACATTCTATGTGTACACGAAGAAGAGGAAGTTCCTCAACTGTCTGATCGACCTAATACTTTTTATTATTATTTAGAATATCGTGAATTTACTTGATGTTGGTTGTAACAACGACTGCAAGCTCTCTCGATCAGGTACATAACCACTGATCATTCCAATTTCGAGTAAGGCCATGTTGCTTTCCCCGTCTGCTAATTTATATCGTGCACAAATTGTAATATCCTGTATGGAACACTCGTTTGCATAGGCATCAGAACTGGCAGCCACCGTGAGATCGAAAGCATCTGAACCGGTTGTATGTGGAACGTTGTACCTAATATTAGTCTAAAATTGGGCAAGGATAATTCGTAAAATACGTTGAAATATAAGTAAAAGAAGAGTACGCGTCTTACCTGGACTAAAATACAACCCTTGCCCTCAGCAAAGACTTCAACGATCGTAGGTAAAACGGGTAGATGAATTTGTTTGAGAAGCATACGATTTTCATTGTACAATCTGTGCACAACGTCTATTTCCTTAGCGGTCACCAGAACGGATAAATCAGTATTTTTAGTGCTTATAGTCATAGCATATTCGGCAAGTGCCTCTAAACCGAGAATCGTGTCCTGCGTGGATATGAATCCACCCTTGGCGTTTCTTTGTTTCGATAACCAACGTACAGCCTTCAAAGCTTCAAGCAGATTCTCAGTTCCGCCTAACTTGACTAACGTGAGAATCACGTAAGATGTCATTTCGATGCTCAGGCTCATCGACGGCTTTGTTTTGTCCTCCCACCAAATCAAACCCTTGAATTAATGAGAAAATAATTAATCTAAGTGGTTTTTTTCTGCCAGTGAGAAATATCTGAATTCTAGTACATTGTAACGAGTGGCGAGGTCCATCAGCGTCTGCACGCTGGCATTAGCAAATGGATGTTCCGACAGTGCTACTGCATAGGTGGTGAGAATCGTAGTGTAAAGATCGTCGTTGCTATTATCCATTATTTTTTCCAGACAGCGGAAGCTGTTACTGATAAGAGACGCTGGCAATGGAACTCGAGATTTGAGCAAAGATATCACAATGTAGGCTGTTAATGCTGCTGATGAACCATCATCTTGAAGTGCACCCTGTAATATAAATAAATTTCCAACCTAATCCCTGATATCGGTGTTAGAGATTCTGTGATAATTGATTCAGGATGGAATGATCCCAGGGGAGGACTGATCATCAGGAGTTCAAGAATTTAGGAATTCAGTGATCTTTCCGTAAAAATTTAAGTCCCAGTCCTCCCCTGAATAACCCCATATTTCAGTTTTCTGCTTATTCTTTACGGACCTTCATCTGTTTGTGAAAAACCGTGCCTATAATAGGGAAGCAACCGTTCTCCAATTGTTTTCTCACAATCCAATTCGCGGTCATCTCAAGATCACGCTCGTCGATGTGGATGTAGCTTCGAGCCTGAGCAAAGGACTTCAACACGAATGCGGTTAACCATATGGAACTTGCACTGGTAGAGAACGACGAATACGAGCCATCCGGTTTTCTAAAGGTTAGCTCTTTTTGATATCCTGTGTTTGGCGGGAAATCATAGTAATTAACAATCATAAAAATATTAACAAAAATTTTAAGGGGAGATAGGGAAGCTGAAAATTTGGAAGTCTAAAAAAATGGTAGTGGAAGGCAGTTGCAATTTAATTTATAATAATGAATGATTAGTTACTTTAGTACCTTCTTCCATATTTTTGATCGCTCTCTCCCGTAGCGCAGGAACTTTGATTTCAAGAACATCCAGATATCGTAACACGTGAAAATTTGGTACGAACAGAAGCATAGTTTGTTCACCACAGCCCGTTGGTACCCTCACGAGTTTATCCAGATTCTCGAGTGCCGGTCCTAAAACGTCCCCTACCAATGTTACATACGCTCTCCCACTGTCAGGTACCACATCCTCGGGGAACCTCACTTCCCACATGAATGTGGAATCATCATTGAAGTCCGTCGGACAAACTAACATCGTTTTCGTTTCTTCCACTGGGAAACCTTCAGGCAGAATTAGAATTGGTTTCACAATTGTGTCCCTTAAAAAAAAAGAATGATAAAAAGATAATTACATTAACATCGTTATCGTTTAACCCTTTGAAAACAAGCAAATTATTTTCATTTCAAATTATGAGGGTAAATATACGTCTTTTGCAGTCAAAGGGTTAATAGTTTGACCAGCATGCTAAGTTAGCCCATAATTACCGTGTAAATACCAAAGTTTGAGGTCCACAGGGATCAAAATAGTCAGTGTCTACGGAAGCGGAAACTGTTATGTTAACTTCCCCAATAACTCGTGGTCTTAGCACGTATTCGTGGACAACACTGTCCCTTGGTTTCACGCAAAACGATGCTGTCGGGTGCGACAAATGCAAATCTACCCCTGATATATTTTCCAGCTTGATCTTCACCTGTGTGTCAGATCCACTTAGAAATTATTGTTATTTTTTAGGATAGCTGTGATTCATTTACATAGTTCATTAATTACAGGTAAGCTATGCTGCATGTAATTGAAGAGAGAGACTTTCATACGAAACATTTCTCCACGTTTCACACTGTACGGCAAACTATAGTCGAGGAAGAACGACTGAAATGCTGTTATGGTAGTTGGTGGTGCTATTCCCAGCCCATGGATCGGTGATATGCACGCTGTGTAACTGACCCAATCGGTGATCGTGTCTGGGAGTGTACGTTCTATCGTCACTTTACCTTCTTTCCTGTGAAAATAATTTATTATGTGGATATTTAACATTTCAACATAAAATTGCTTAAGTAACAGGCATTGGCGTTAAAGAGTAGTTTATAGTCATACCCAGTAGGCACTAATTCCCATAACCATGTTTCAGGAAAATATGATCTAAGAGTGGGCGTCTGATCGAAACTTTCGTCAACGTATTCTACCCCTGGATCCATTGCTGCAGCCGCAACCGCGGAATCGATCACTGGAAAAGTAAGAAATTTTATTATTAAAAATCATCAACTTAATATTACCTTAATAGTATAATTAATAGTATTAATTATATTAATTAATAATATAATAGCAATGCCATTAAAAATAATATTTTTCAATTGTTTTCCATTAATTAAAGTTAATATGTAGGTACTTGCCAGTTCTATCCATTGTCATCATCCTCATACTGTTGGATACATACAACTGTTCTGAGAATCCTACTGAACAAGGTCGTGCTTTTTGTACGAGATTGCTCATCACAACCACTCCGAAATCCTATCAGAAAGAGAATAAAATTTACAAGAAATATTAGAAGTAATTTTTTCATGTAATGACTTAATATTCTGCAATATCTTCTTTTTTTTCAAATTTCTGTGGGACGAATATGTTATAGGAGAAATAGTGAAAGTAGAGGTGACATTTGAAGGGACTACAGCTTTTATGAACAAGTCGCCACTATGGTTATTAATGAATATTGCTGCGAAAATGTCTTACATTGAAGGCTTGCATGGCATTAACATAATCAACCGATCTGTGGTAAGTATTCGAACGCCTTTTTCGAAGCCATCCTAGACCCCGTTGTACCGCAGGATGTGGCAGATGAGCGAACTCTTCATTAGGTGCCGACACTAATACAATTCAGACCTAACATTTAGTTATACCATATCGTCGCATCGACACCGTAAACATTGGTGTAGTTGCGCAACCATAATTATCCGATAGGGGGGTCAAACAAACTTTTGCATACCTCATTAACATCATGATAATACTAAGTCTAATTTTCTTCATCTAAAAAAAAAGAAGGTATTTATTTCTTGAATAGGGAGGTCAACCGATCCTTCTGATCCCCCTTAGTTGCGCTATTGCATTAGTGGTAAACATACTTTTGCAATTAGTCTGCATCCAGTTCTCACGAAGATCCGAGGTTGGATGATACATTTTCAATCGTTCGAATGTCTGAGCGGCATTAATCAAGTTGGATTTCAATCCACCCAAGAAAAGTGTCGATTTGTCGATAGCCGAAATCGCACACAGTGACCATGGTGCTGCTTCCATGTGGTACTGAGTCGTTGATCCTGGTGTTTGAACGTCGGTGTGCCACGCAGTTTTCACCTTGTTCTCGAAACAATGACCAACCTCGATCGTGTATGTCGTAGCCACGATTTCACCATCAGATCGCACGTAATAGAGTAACAGTTCGGATATTGGTGCCATGCTTGATGTTACTTTCACGCTTAATGGGAATCTGATTAAAAAGAATTGTATTGATACATGTTGATTAATGGGGTCATCGGTGTAAGTGGGATTTTTTTGGGGGGGTGGTCCAGGACTTTCATTAACAGAATCAAGTGTTGGAGTTTTAGAATATTAAAATCTTAAGGCTTGAAAATTTTTGGGATCATAAACCAATTGGTAAAATTTACCTGTGTACAATGGGATCTTGATCGGTTTTATTTTCCGAAGATTCAAGGCTACCCAATAAATTGCGAAACTCAGAGTAGTTTAATATGGTATCACGACCGGGCTTGTGCTTCACGTGTCCATATATCAAGATATCGCCTTTCGAATTGATAGAATAATGGAATAAAATGGATTCGTTGACTTCCGTGTCCGGGGGTATCGTATACATGACGTTGAAGGAATATTTTTCTCCACATACGATGGGCTGACTTCCTCTTGCCACAGCCAAGTAACTATCAGATGGGGAGTACCATGGATTCACGTTGATATGCGCCGAAGGTTGATTCATAAATACCTACGAAAATGATAGACGTACAGGGTGAACCAATTAGCGTAAGTAGGTAGGGGTCAAGGTAGGAGCGAGAGAAATTTTTGAAATTTTCAAATAATACTTACTTTCCATCGATTCTCGGGCGCATAATATTTCATTGAATAATCAACGGCGGTGGCAACGAAACTTAACAAAATGACGTTCTTGTGTTGAGGTGGTACAATGAAATCAATGAAACCATCGGCGGACGATGTAAAATCACGGCATTCGACCACGTCATGGTACAATCTGTGTTTTCTACGGACTTTTAAGCAAAGCTGAATCTTTTCGGTCGGAGCTGGGGTATTGTCTTGTCGCAGAACTCGTAACTATTGAATAATAATAAACAAATTATTAGATCGAATTATAAAATTTCGCACGAGTTGATCAATCCTTTGCAATCATAAAATTTAATAAACTTCTTTTTAGGGTTCCGAGTATTTTTGAAACCTAGCATTTTTAAGTTAAACGTAACATAATAAAAAAAGGAGAGGCGTATTTCCTGTCATACAAAGAAGAATTGAGAGACTTTATACAATCTTGTATCGGTCGTCTAATAAACAATAGAAAACAATAGAAATTACAACTGCAAAGATTGATAAACTATAGAAAATATTCACCTTTCCATGGTAAGGTAAATCCAGCTTAAAGTATTTAGGCATGTATTGGGCGAATTCGATTTTTAAGGCCTCGTGCTTCACTGGCGTCCAATTGATCATAGTTTCTACTACTCCGGTACCGGCTTCTGTGAAATTCGCTAGTAGAATAATGTTTTCCGGGTCTACGCTCCATCGTGGCAAATTAAGAATCGATCCAGAAAGTGCAAATTTTGTACATCCGTCTGGTGAATCCATCTGAACAATTCATATCTCCGTTGAGTAACCTCGTGTCAAGATGACGGAGAAAAAAAGAAAGGATATATCGCTTACTTCCGTTTTGTAACGTATTTCGGTAACGTTATACGTTATTCGCCAATGAGGTATGTCCGGTGTTAATTTTAACAGCAGAGTACCTTTTACGGGTTTATTGTAGCTATATCTGTAATATTTTGTTATTGTCAAATTACAAATGTAGAAGCAGTAATAATTGTATTTACTGACTGTAGTATAATACTGTTTGAAAATCTATGGTTAATTGTTTTGTTTGATATCGCGCTCGAGAAAGGGATAATCCTTTCAGGTAAACACAGGAATTATCGCATCGAAGCGCGATCATTATTCATTCGTTCTTGAGCCTTCCTCGAATCAATACACAATTGGAAAGCCGAACAAATGTATTATGCTCAAACTGAAAACATAGATATTCAACCCCACCAATTCCTAGTGTGTGATTAACGGTTAGTTAATACTGTAAAATTAATTCTTTAATTAATCCTTTCGTTACTGGAAACTGATTGAAAAATATTTGTACATCATTTTTCTTTTTTATTAAGTATCACTGATGATTCTAATATCAGCCAATGATAAAACGAAATTTTATTTTAATAACGAAAGGGTTAATTCTCAGAATATTTGAAAAGTCTTATGATAAGAGATAAGTAACAGTAACAATACTTGACACAGATGTTCCATGTAACGTTCTCTGCATCCGCAAGTACATATTTCGGGGAAGTTATTGATATTTGGAATCTTGGTAGAACGTATTTAGTTACTTCGAATGTAGTAGTGTGAATCAGCTGAGGGTTTGAATATTTCTCCACTTTAATCTTCCACATTCCCTGTTATAAACAATTCTTCTATATAATTTAACAGCTTGATAACTTATCCATATATTACACAAGTATAATTCGAAATTAATTAACAGAACATTAATGTATAAAGCATCTAATTTATATCTTAATAAATTTATGAGATTTGAATTTTACCCAGCGTGGTTCTGACGACAAAGGAAATGCCAACTGTACCATCCCGTTCTCCGTGCTCACGTTTGACCATTGTGCCACTCTCACTTCCGCCGGAGTTTCAATCCATACTTTTGAAATCTGTGAACGATTTATTTCGTACAGGAACGATAAAGCTTAAATACTAAAAGCATTTAGAGGTAATCAATTTCTCACCGGTTTTTTCCAAGGCTTCAAATCATGTTTAAGCATAAGAATTCTAATATTAACATCTTGACCAGGTTTATAAATTGGTTTATCAGTTTCCACAAAAGTGATCAGAGAATTCTGCTGAATTTCCATCATTTTCATTACATTCACTACATATTCGGGATGTTTCTCGAATTTAATCGTCAGTCGAAGAAAGACGGTTGTGTCTTGTGGCGTCGGTATCATCAGTTCCAAACATGTTTCTATACCTGTTTCAAAATATAAAAATGTAATATTATTAATCAACTTTAATGACATCGTTATTTATTTTCGTATTAGCGTTTGACATCAAAGCAATCGTCCCTTTGCAATCTATTGACATAACTGCATTCGGACAAAAGCATGCCCTTAATCGATAAATTGCTACCAAGAACGCTCTTCCAACCGAGCGTCAATTTAGCTAATTGTTATTCCTACATACGCAGTTAGTGGTTACAAAGAATATTTCTATCAAACGAATCTCAAAACAACACCGATGCTTCCATACAATGTTTTATTTTGACCTTTTGCAATCGAAAGCCCTTCCATAGAAAATTAACAAACGTATATCCAATTAGTGGTTTTTCTTAAAATCAGTACTTCCAGTCACTTCGAGTTTACTTAAGTTTACTTTAAGATTGTCTTCAGATTTTTTTAACGATGTATCGGATATTATTTGTTCAAGTTGCACCTTGATCAAGCTAAACGGCCAATGTTCGTTGTTCACCCCGTGCATAATAATATAATTGGGTTTCCCATGTATTTCAACAATTGGTTATTTCCTCTCCAGAGAGGGTGATAGACCAATTCAGTTCCCTCGCAGGAAGTAGCGACAATTTCAATTTACGATTTGTTTAAAGAGCCCGACGCGACGCAAAAATGACTGGCGAACGGGAAAGAGGTGAAGAGAAGAAAGAACGAGGGAAGATGAATTTTCAAAAGTAATCGGCTACGGATAAATGTACTGCAATGTAGCATAATTCATTTCAAATACGGAGCATAATATTTAAAATTATTTTTGTGACCGACTGTATTTATCAGTTATTGCAGCAACGAGAGTGTACTTACAATCATTAAACAGCAATTTAAGATAAACAAATAAAAGCAGAAAAGGTCATCATTCTATTCGGGCGATAAGATACTTTTTCGCGCAATACAGACGATAAATAAATGAATCTAAATTCAGAAATAAAATGAATGCAATATCGTGTATTTGTAGGAACATTGTAGAAATATCTATTAAGGAAATAAAATTCAAAGAACAGTTTGTTGTATGTAAGATTAGAGTGGTCAAAGGTCTACATTCGATTATGAAGAATTGAAAAGTTGTTGGTATAATGATTAAATTTTGTAACAAAGCATCTCTTCTTCCTTATTGAGTTTTCTTCTCTTTTTACTTTTACAAATATACCGCTATTTACCTGTCGTTAAGACGGTGTCAGTACTAGACAATACACCCTGTTCTGATGGCTGAGATAATAGTTCCAGAAGAACATGCGCTGGAGGCTCTAAATTGTGCAAAGACAGGCATCCACTTACAGTTTCACCAGCTAAAAGCCTGTTAGGTATTGTAAATACGTATCCCCTGAAAATAGAGCAGAATTGGTATGGTTTTCAAATTATTTATCCATTTTTCAGTCGCTAGAAATTAGCATGATTATAAGGACATAGTGCAGTAGAATTTTCTTTATTCAAATGAAATTTTATTAGAGGCTAGATTGACACGTGGTGATTGAAGGCTATAAATCTACGCTCTCTAAGACGAACCGTAGATCCCAGCATCGTAGATCTACCCCCTTTGCTACATTTGATTATTTTTTATTTAAAAATTAGCGGAAGAATTAAACCCAAAGTAATTAATTACCGTTCAATATTTGAACTGGTTAAATTGCAGCGTATAAATCCCACTAAACAGCAAAGTGTCACCAAAAACAGTAATTTATCCATTTTGATCTTAGGATAATGTCATACACAGTCTTTTACTTTTGACAAACTATACACCCACGCATGTTTTTCGAATTCGTTGGTTCTCTTTCAAATCTGAATACACGAGTATTGTACAAATATAAAAGAACGTTTAAGAATATGCAGATTCACGTTACAGCACGCTGTACGCAGACTGAAAGCACGATATTCGTTCGGTGCCTCTTATTTACCCCCTGAATCTCCAAGGGGAAGGGTTACGTATTTCATTGATACCGGCTAGAACACGATTTCAATTCAATTTTCCTCTTATTTTGCTCGATCGACCTTTGTCACAAGCATTTATATTCTAGGAACTGTGTATTTGTTTTGATATACATGAAGATTAATTCCATGTATTCGTACGCGGTTGAGAATATTTCAAGAGGAATGAAAATTATTTCATTTATACTTTCAACGCTATATAATCAATGTTTTTAAAAAGATTGTTATGCTTGGGAAGAATATTTTCTGTTAACAATTTTAAATTGATAAATGATTTCTAAACTACTGTATAAAAAGTATTACAAAATACGAGTTGATTGTTTGGTGTTAATAGTTAATGGAATTTTTAAATTAATACTGATATATACAGGGTTTGATTCTGAATACCTTTTTCCTTTATCAAAATGCTCATTAAAGCTTAGTTTTTGAATTATTAATTAAAAACACCGGTCAATCAAAGTGTGCCTAGCGCGCATGCGCAACCGTGAGAATGTCGGCCACGATGTTACCGACGCGCGGTCGAACAGTTTGTGCGTGACCATAGTCGACGTCGGACGCTGTATTGCTCGCGGTTGATGTAAAAGTTTATATTGCATGATAAATCTATATTGTATCTCTTGTGTAGTATATCTGTATTATAACTTGATAATAAATTAGAAATCTGTAGTTTCGACACGCCAGGGCGTCATCTGTACAGTTAATTTGTTTCAAAAATTAGCGCGCTTTTTTCGAGTTATTCGTTGAACTTCGATAGGTCGAATTAAGGCCTTTTAATTCGATACTAGAATCGCGTGGGACGCCGGAAAGAGACGCTAATTTTTGTCGAAGTGAATTTGAATAATTTAAGTGACTTAATAGTGCTATTGTGTCTGGAAGTAGAGTGGAATATGTATTTTAATGCAGCGATATCAATTCGAGTAAGTAATAACTATTTAATATGACACAAAATTTGTATTTCTGTTCATGAGCACGTGTACATCTTTTTGTTGTACATACATACAAACTAAAGTTATTGAACTGTATTTTAAGAGCTATTATTATTATTTCTTTCTCTTTTTGCTTGATTTTTAGAGTTCTACGAACTTTTAGGAGAGTATAGGGTTATACGAAGTATAGCAACCAAATAGTGTAAGTATGTTAAAACGTACTCTTCAATGAATATCAATGTCGCTCATAACATACATAATTTGTGTTGATATTCAGGCATATCATAAATTAATGCACCTAACTATTAGGACATGGAATGTTGGAAAATATTTATGCTAAAAAATTGGGATTCTTTGATTTCAGAATCGGTGCTAGTGATCACGGAAAATGATCAAGAAGTTTCGACGTTCGATGAAAGATGGCGGCATATACGGCTACGGCGCAAGCGAGTCGGCGATCGACACGGTCGTGCCTTCCATGATGGCTGAGACAGTTTCCGAGTTTTCGAGTACGGTGTCGTGAGTACGTGTTCTCTTTATCGCACGTCTAACCGTCAGTGAGGCTCGTCTACAGAATAGAAGGATCCCGGAAAAAATGACAGACAGTCCAGCGGCACTCGTAAGTGTTGTCACTGTCTATTAAATTTTCTAGAACAGAGTATTCGGGACCTGTAATGCTCGATAGGTTACCCTTTAATGACATGCTAGCATATTAAGGTTTCCTTGCGTTCTCCGCGTTATTGATCGAACAACGATCATATTTATTGGTCGTTGATATGTCGACTATTTCTTACCCCGAACGATCGGTATGAACTTCTGAAAGAAGTGATCGCAAACGGGGACGTGCAGTTCACGTCCGACATGGTGTAATGCGCAAACTCAGATCAGAGGTTCGTTGCCCGTTCCCGTTTGACGTCACTAGCTGATAGTGGTTGTCACCTGTTTCTGTAGGCAGTGACGTCACGAGTAGCTGTGACGTAATCGTGAGATCCGTTCTCTCAGTTAGTTCGACCGAGCGTAGTCTATTTATTTCTTACGTATGACAGAATTGCGTCAGATTACTTACGCCAACGCGCGAGCAATAAATGCTTTATCGTTTCTACCTACGCGATTCATTAATGATGTCTATTGACATTCGTCCAAATGGACGTTCACCAGTCCCGTAACAGGTTTGGCGACACAGTGTCCGCCTTCCATATTGATTTCGCGTTTACACACCTGCCGTAAACGGTGTTTACACTTTACTACACGAACAGTACACCGATAAATACTTTAATTAAATATTTTAATTACATAAAGTTGAACTTATAAAATATTTCATATTATTAAAAGATCTATACTATGATAGGTATATCTTGATAATACAGTTAATTATGTATTTTTTTTTTTTTTCGTCGTAACAAATTAAAAGAGAGGTAAAAATTTGCGTGTAAAAGTTGGAGCAAATGGATCGAATTACGATAGGCAAAGGAAATCCTATCCGTGCTTACGATGCTATGTGATAAGAGATACATAAGAGGTACACGATACACGATGAAACCTTAAAAAGCGGAAATCGTATCTCCTATGAATTGTATTTGAACAAATAACGTTAAATGTTTAACAAATCTCATAGTGGGGTTGAAAAGTCAAATTAGCTAGAAATATTCAACTAGTACGAATTTAGGCTAGTCACTTTGATTCTATATTTGATTTTAATATGAATTTACCTCTTGGTGCTTCTAATTAAGCTTCTTTCTTCGGTTTCATTTTCCCTTCTTATCACCTTCGTTACGGTTCAGCATCTTTATTAAACAAGACGTAACTTCAGTACACGCTTTTAATTTTCGAAACAAACGTGAAAGTGTTTTTAATACCATATATCGTGCTGTTTGAAGATAGTATGCAATTTCGAAAACGTTCATTTGGAGTGCAGGTTGGTTCAAAGTAAAAGCGGAAACTGGCTCGGTAAGGCTGACAGTAACGTAACCGGGTTAGGAATGCTTTTATCGTCGAATTAAATGGCCAGGAAAAGCCGGACGTTGGAGTATTTAATTTTGTATACAGTTCGCGCTATTTATTCTGCTCGATCGCGTGCATCTGCCAGGAAAACTTCTTCTCTCTCAATGTAATAACTTGTAAGACCTTTCGTTAGCAAGTTATGAAAATGCAACGATTTAGAAGAGAAAAACAATGTATTTCTTTGTTTCAATGAAAATGAAGCTAGAATCGAGATAACGGTCGAGCGATAGCGTTTAACGTAAATCAAGAAAATAATGGCCGGTTGCAAGATGAAACCGTGATAATTAGTTTATTCGTCCGATTCGTTTATTTTTGCGGAAACTCGAGGTAATCTGATGTCCGTTTTATCCGGGCACAGAGAAGCCATTTCAATCCCGTAGCGAGATAGGATCATGTACCACGGTGAGTCGTATTGAATGGCTGCAATTGTGCAGCTGCAGTTCAGTAACGATTATTGGTGTAGGTACATGTATACCAATAATGTTAACGAGACACCTCGTATATCGTTGTTCACGCGCGTATCTTCGTCCGGCTACATTCGTGATTTCCCTCTATTACCATTGCTTCGCGATCTCCTCTCGTGTTCCTTTCTTTCCCTTCTCTTCGATGGCTTTCATTCAATCGTAAACACTTTTCAATATTAGGTCTAATTTTCTTCATTTTTGGTTTTTATAAAATTTTCCTCCCTCAGTTGCGTTATTGTCCTCTCTTTGAGGCCCGCTGTTGCCCTCTTTTTCAAGTTCGTTATACATGCTACGAGAGTTCAATTTTAATAAGTTTCTAAAAATCCAAGGAAAGGTGAAGGGAATAAGATTTCGAGTTTAGCACGAGTTTCTTTTTTATTATCGGTTTTTGTTTGAAATGATTTTTAACGCGATGCTTACGGAGTTGAGCGGTGGCTTGGAGCAATGCGTTTCATCATTGATGGTGGGCGAGCACCGTGTTCTGGCAAAATTACGGCCGACTTCCCATTGTTTGGACACCAGAAATTTATGGTTACGAGCCGCGCTCGCGGTCATATTCCAATTCACATGCCGAGATATTGATCTTAATTTGAATCTACTGGGCGGCGCCTTAATTCAGATCAATTGGCCCACCAATTAATTCGAGAGTAACGACCAATCGCCTGTCATGGGAATAATTAGAGGGAACACCGTTACAGGGTTGAGGGGTTGACGAAAAATAAACGATTTTCCATTGACCAGCATGCGTTTAAATTGTATCCTTTTTCAAAGTGAACGATAAAGCGGTAAAGTACATTTGTTGCAATTAGATGATAAATTTGAACAAATCTAAAAATAAGTCTGTGGGAGAAAAAGAATTTTGCATTTGCCTTTCAAAGAGAGACAGTTTATGTCTCGATCACTGTGTTCTCATGAGAAATGTCTAACAAAAAATAGCGAAACGTTAAGAGAGAGAGAAAAAAAGAAACATGTTTTAGAACGCTCGCTATATTTATGAGCTATCTTATAAATAAAAATGAAGCACAACTGTATATTAAACCGCGTGATTCAACGATTGAATCTTCTAGGAAAAAATGACAGAAACTCTGCGATATGACTCAAGCTCTTCTTTCACTAAAAATTTCGCGTGTTCGACAGGATATTTTGCAAAATGCAGATGATCGTAATTCAAAGACAACGAGTTATTCTAACTTTAAAAGCTGCTTCGATTTGTCAAACGTAAAAAGATCGAAAGTGACTATTTCTAGAGAAAAGCATCTGGTAGAGACGAATTTTGAGGAATTATTCGAAGGCTAGATTAAAATTTCAGGCTAGGAGGAAAATCTGAATGTCATAAATTCTTATTCCTAAAAAAACTCGATATTCGCAC